AAAAAAAAAAAAAAAAAAAAAACCTTAATTTAATCAAACCTTCATAGCCAACCAGTAGTTAATAGGAAAAATGGGAGAGACAGGAACAACTAACACCACAAAGATATACATACAACATGTGGGAAATACTATATGGCATAAAAAACAGAAAGGGAACCGTTCAAATTAAAAGAGACTTAGGAGACATATCGACCAAATGCAATGTGTAGACCTTGTTTGCAACCTGATTCAAGTAAACCAACTACAAAAAAATTTCTGAGAAAGTCAGGCTAAATAAACACTGGTTAAATAAAAAAATTAAGAAATTACTGTTATTTTTTTTTTTGGTGTGATAATGGTCCTATAGTTATGTTTTAAGGGTGGAAAAGCATATGATATCTCAGCTTTAAAAATACTCCAAGAAAAAAAAAAAGGAGAGGTAGGGGAGACAAAGATGAGACAAGAACTGAATAATGTCAATGACTATTGAAACTGAGTGGTGGATACATGGGCATTCATTATACTATTTTATCTTTATGTATGTTTGACACATCCCATAACAAAATAGTTAAAAAAAAAGAAAGAAGGAAAGAAAAAAGAACTATAGTTCCCCTAAGCAAGGTGGAAAAAGTTAGCTTTGCCATCTTTAAGTAATCTCATTTTGCCTGTCCCTTGAAGTTACATACATGAATTCTATACTGAAACTAATAATTCATGTAAATTAAGCAACTGTTTCAAATATTTCCACCAACTATGCCCTAACAAGCTGTCCCTACTTAAGAACAATTTCAATAGCCAGGAGAATGTCTGAGAGCTTCCACATATGGACAAGTGAATTGGTTATCTTTTTTATAACAAAGAACAGAATATAGATTGACAACTAACAAGTTGACCAGTCACACACCAAAGGAAAACAAAGGATGTGGAAATCAGCACATAGCTAGTACCCATTGTGCACCTGGCACTGTGCAAAGATGAGTGCCATAAATTATTCCATATGAACTTTAACTCTTGTTCTCTCTCAAAATTATAAGTAATTTCTAACAGATGTATAGTGCTTGTTAAATATAAAATACATTCACAAAAAAGTGAAGACCTACTTTACACTTAAAGACAAAGATCCAGATAATCAAATTGATACCTCTTCAAGGCGTTTGCCAAGTTTGTCAAGTGTTTCTGGGAAATATTTTTCATTTTTCCATGGATGAGGAACATAGCGCTGCCACACCTGACCTGTTAGATGATTACACACTATCACCCACTGTTCACAAATTGAAATACCGGCTTTCAGATTTTCCTTCACAAGATAATAAGGATCTTCCCATAG